ATTTAAAGTACAGGATGTTGCCCTAGCCAGTTTGGCTCAGTGGTTAGAGTGTTGGCCTGTGGATCCTTCGGTTCCCACTAAGGGCATGTATCTCAGTTGCAGTTTGTCCCTTGCCCCAGTTGAGGTTGTGTGGGTGACAACCACTCGATGTGTCTCTCTCACATAGATTTTTTTCTCTCTCTCTTCCTCCCACTCTATCTGAAGATAAATGCAAAAATGTCCTTGGGTGAGGATAAAGAATAAAATAAAGTATGGGATATCTTTCAGATTGACAAAGATCAAAGAGTGTTAACATGGTCCAGAAGACAGGCAGTTTCATTGGATGCCTGTTTTGGTTGTCTCCATTAAAATGACAAATGCAGGTACTCTTTGGCCCAGCGATTCTATTTCTATGAACATGGATTCACACCCATGTGTGCATAATGGACATGTGAGGTTGTTTATTGCAGTATTGTTTGGATGAACAAAAGTTGAGAACTACCAAATTTTCCTTTCTCAAGCAGAGTTTCCCAACTGGTGTGCTGCGAAGTCTCACAAGTTGTGGCAGATATGTTGGCGCCTCAGCCATGTGCCCTCAGCCCAGCTTCAGAGGTCACGTGCAGCTTTGGTAGACAGGGCTCATTCAAGGGAACAGGTGTCTGTGTTTCTTTGATGATAGGTTTATGCTTGGCCCAACCTGGGATTGAACCTGAAACCTGGGCCTATTTGGAGGACTCTCTAACCAAATGAGCTACCTGGTCAGGGTGCATTATTCTTTTTTTTTTTTTTTAATCCTCACCCGAGGACATTTTTTGCATTTATCTTCAGATAGAGTGGGAGGGAGAGAGGGAGGAAGAGAGAGAGAGAAACATTGACATGAGAGACACACATCGAGTGGTCGCCACCCACATGACCCCAACTGGGGCGGGGACAAACTGCAACCGAGGTATGTGCCCCAAGCAGTAACTGAACCCGGGTCTCTCCGGTCCGCTGGCCAATGCTGCAATCGCTGAGCCAAACCGGCCAGGGATATTCTTTTAATATGTTGTTAGATTCAACTTGTTAATATTATACTTAGTACTTTGGCTTGCATGTTTGCAAGTAAATTGGCCTAGAATTCCCTTTCCTCTCTTTCTTTGCCTTTCTTCCTTTCTTCCTCCCTTCCTCTCTTCCTTTGTGCTCTACATACAGTCTTGGTCAATTCAAATGCTATAATTTTGTCAAAAAAAAAAAAAAAAGATTTTGAGGAGGGACATCTGTAATAAAAAAAATTAAGTAGTTAAAAAAACTTATTTCCTGTGTTCTGGAATTCATCATTTTAAAATTTCTTACATTTTTTTCTTCATATAGACTGAGAGGGAAAGTGAGGGAGAGAGAGAGAGACATTGATATGAGAGGACACATCGACTGGTTGCCTCCTGCACGACCCTGACCAGGGCCGGACAAACCACAACCAAGGTTCGAGGCCTTGACTGGAATGAAACTCGAGACTCATTGGTCCACAGGCCGACACTCTAACTGCTGAGCCAAACTGGCTAGGGCCATCATTATTTTTAAATACTCAAAATGAAAAAATTCATTTGAATTTGAAATTCACTTGATTACAACATTATATTTGTCAACTAAAGAAAGGGAAGAACTATTGGAGCATTTAAATATAATTATTTAATTGTAAACTTTGGAATGGGTTAAAATCTTTTATCACCTACCTTAAGTTATTAAGTCTCTTAATGATGTTGACTACTAAGAATTTGAAAAGATCATTATTAATAGGCCTTGATCAGGAATTGTATTGGTAAACCATTCTGATAAAACCTCATATAGAAAGTTTGCATTCACAGGAGCAAGATCAAATTTCTTAATAAGTTTTAAAATATATTTGGATGTTTCCATTAGAGTTGTTGATACTTCATTTCCTCTCTGTGAAATATGTTGTCTTTCACTTCTCTCATCAGAAAATATTATAGAAATGGGATACATTTCCCAGGACCCACATAAATAGTCGGAATCGCCCTTCCAGCTTTCCCTCTTCAATATTTTGTGTGTGTGACATGGCACATTTTAGATTGAGAATCAACGAGTTAGAGGTCTGGTTTAAAAATTGGAGAAATACTACACAGCTGGAAAAAATAATGAAGCTGCCCTGAATTGTTAACTGGTGAAGCGCGATCTCTCTCCCATGATAAGTACATGGGAATTAATGTACTCATTGAAACTTCTGTAAGATTCATTATTTAGGCGTAAATGGCAAGACACAGTCCTCTTGTGTTAAAAAAAAAAAGTGAGATAAAACTGTATTGACATCTGTGTACTTGCCTGTGTGTGAAAAGACATTTCTGGAAGGATATCAAGAATCTGGGGAGGGGACTTCAGTAGCTAGATAAGAGCCAAGGGCCAGGGACACTTAATAGGCATAGAGGTGGGTGGGAAGCTGTAGGCTTTGGTTTTGAACTAAGAATGGTGACCCTGAGCTCCGGGTGAGCCGTGGCAAGCTCTGACTTCGGCACCCCAGAGTTGGAAGTGTAGACGTCCTTCTGGTGAGCAGGAAGGGCGAACACTAGAGAAAGCTGGCCAGCTAGGAGATAGGCTGAGAGGCCTGCAGGAAGGAGTCTTGGGGTGGGAGTGGCTTTCAGGTCGCATTCTCCGGCCACTAGGGGGCAATCAAGCCCTCTCCTGAAAGCGGGTTGGGCGGAGCGCCGAGAGCAGGTCCCGCCTCCAGGCCCGCCCCACAGCTGGAGCGCCCGCCCGCTTTCCCAGACCTCTCCCCGACCTCGGGTCTCAGCCACGTGGAATTTCGTGAGGTGCAAATCCTCTCTCCTCCTGGGAGTCCGCCTATTGGTGGGGTCATCACTGCAGCCCCCCTCATGGGTTATCTCATTCATTGTTAACCACCATAGTGTAAGATGACTACTGCCATCACACCCATTTCACAGAAGGGAAAACTGGGGCTCAGAGATTGGTAACTTGCCCAAAAACCAGAAATGGTGACCCAGGGTACACACCTGACCTGTGCATCCTCAGAACTGGAGCGTTAACCAAACCACCTCTTCTTGTCAACTCTGCTCCTCCTCCAAGACCTTTTTCTTCTTTTTTTAAAAAAAATATTGTATCACCCTGGCTGGTTTGGCTCAGTGGTTGGAGTGTCAGCCCACAGACCAAAGAGTCACAGGTTCGATTACGGTCAAGGGCACGTGCCTCCGTTGCGGTTTGGTCCCCAGCCCTGGTTGGGGTCCTGCAGGAGGCAGCCAGTAGATGTGTCTTTCTCACATCCACGTCTCTCTCTCCCCCCCTCCCACTCAATCTGAAGATAAATGGAAAAAATCCTCCGGTGAGGATTAAAAAAAAAAAAAAAAAAAAAAAATATATATATATATATATATATATATATATATATATATAGTTTCTATTGATTTTTTGAGAGAGGGAGAGGGAGAGAAACATTGATAGGCTGCTTCCTGCATGCCCCCTACTGGAGATGGAGCCTGCAACCTGGGCATGTGCCCTGACTGGGAATGGAACTGGTGACCTCTTGGTGCATGGGACTACGTTCAAGAACTGAGCCACACTGGCCGGTCCGTCAGGACCTTCTTTACACAGCAGCCAGAGCACCTTGGGGGCTCTAAGGGAGCATGTCACTCCCTAACAACCTTTCTCTGGCTCTGGATGACCTCAGGATCAGGTTCAGTCCCTTTACCCCACCTCTTTGGCATCATCTTGACCCAGGAGCCCCCATTCAACTCCAGACACACCAACTTTCCTTCAGCTTGAAGAAAACTCATTCAATCTGTCCATTTGCTTCTTCATCAGGACCATTCTTCTTGCCTCCCCCTTATTTTATGTTAACTCATATACAGTCTTCAGGCCTGGGCATCTGAAGCCTCTGAGGTCACTTCTTCCAGGGAGCCTGACTTCCTGAATCCGATATGCTCAGGTCCCATATTAAATGCTGTTCAAAACTCATTATGAGTCTCCTCGGTACTACTGGTCTCAGCCATGGGCTCCATTTTTTAAAAAATGTTATTAATTTTTTAGAGAAAGGAAGGCAGAGAAAAAATCATCCGTGTGAGACACATCGATTGGCTGCTTCCTGCATGCCCCTTACTGGGGGCCGAACCTGAAACCCGAGCACGTGCCCTGACAGGGAACTGAATGGGGACCTCAGTCCATAGGATGACGCTCAATCCACTGAGCCATACTGGCCAGGCTAGGCTTTATTTTTGTAACTGTCATGGCATCATTATTTCAAAAACTCGAATCACCCTTAATTCCTCTTACTCTCTTACTCTCTAGAGCTATCTCTACTTCATCAGCTGATCTTGTGAGGTCTACCTTTCTTTTTATTTTTTTATCCTCACCCGAGGACATTTTTCGATATTTTGTTCAGATAGAGTGGGAGGGAGAGAGAGAAACATTGATGTGAAAGGGACACATCGAGTGACTGCCACCCACACGACCCAACCAGGGCCGGGGACAAACTGCAACCGAGGTACCTGCCCTTAGCGGGAACCGAACCCGGGTCTCTCCAGACCACAGGCCAAGGCTCCAACCAGAGTCAAATCGGCCAGGGCTGTGAGGTCTACCTTTAAAATGTTATCTCACCTCTGACTCCTTATCTTGCCAGGTGTACTCATAGTCATCATTTCCACCTCTGCCTTCCAACAGCTGTCTTTATATTTGTCCACCTGTCTCCCTGACTAGAATGGACGCTCCATAAAGGCAAGGACTTTGTTTACTACAGAAGTCCCAGAGTCTAAGATTGCCTGTAGCTATTTAACTGTTTCTCCCACTAGAATATCAGCTCCTGAGGGCAGGAATTGCCCCAGTGCCCAGCACACAAGCAATAACTCAATAAAACCCATCAATGTACCGGTGGAGACTTAGGACCAGCGGGAGAAAGGAACTTGTCCAAGGTCCTCCTCGGAGGGCAGCAGAGCCAGCACCAGCACCCAGACCTCCTGCAGCTGTCAGGCAAGCAGCCCCTTCTTTCCCATCCCGGAACACACAAGAGCCCAGGCCCTCTGTTCAATGAATTAACACAGTTTATTACTGAACTGCACTTTCACCTTCACACAGACTATTTCAAAGAGCTGGAACAAGTGTGGGGTGGGGATTGGGGGAGGGACAGGTGCCCCTCAGGAGCCAGGACCCCGGCTGGCTTCCCCGGACCAGGGCAGGGAGGGAGCGTCAGGCTGTTCAATCTCTAGGCACCAGCTCTTCACGTGCACACGCACAGCAAGCCAGCAGCTCCTCACACATAAATACAGACACGCTTAACAAAAATAGTATATCATCTTCACAAGGAATAAAAACTAGTTTTGAATATGTACAGCAGAGAGCCCAGGGGGGCCAGGGCTAGGCCAGGACCCCCAGGGATGAGACAGGCCATGGGTAGAGCAGAGGAGAGAGGGAGGCCTGAAGGGCTCCTGGCCAGGACACTCTGACCTGGCAGCCCGGCTGCCCAGGCTGAATGGGGGTGGGGCACAAATCTGTTTGGCCAGGCAGGACTGGCCCCACTGGCCAGCCGCACTTTCACCCTGTGCACCAGGCTCTCCTTCCTGCCCTTTCTGCCTGAGGTAGGGAAGACCCTAGGGCTCCCACAGCTGCTGCCTGTAGCTCCCCTTCACCTCTGGGCCGAGGCCCCTGAACCCCATGGGCAGCAGTCCAAAGCAAAGATGCCACAAGGCTGATCTCCTTGCAGGAAGTGAGGCAGCTGAGGTCATAAACAGCTCTGGGGCACCTGTCTTGGGCCCAGTTGGTCCCTCAGTCATGGTCATGGGAGCCAGGGGAGGGGAAGCGGAAGGGAATTGGGATAGTGCTAAACTGCAAGGGCCACCCTAGCTTTGGCATGGGGTGCTTCCTGCAGCTACAGCCCTCTCCTCCTGAGTTGGGCTGGCCTCTAGCCAGAGACCTCTAGAGGACATTGGGGCTGGGGGGGCAGGGACTTTGGCCAGGCCAGAGTTGGGGAGGGGGGTCCTGGTCCTTGTTTCTTTATCCCAAGCAGCCTGAATCCCTAATTGGTCAGAGTTGGCCCCTAAGTAGCTACTGAAGGGTGGGAATGAAAGGAAGGGAAGCCCAGGTCCGGGGGAAGGGGTGGGGGTGGGGGACTGGGATAAGAAATGATTAATTCTGAGGCCACAAACATGAAAACGAAGGCAATCTAGTCTCTTTTTCTGGGAAAAAGGGTCAGAAAACTTTCTAGCTCCCTGGCAGGAAAGCATTCTTGGGGAGGCTAAGGGGTAAGGGGTTCCACCAATCAGGCAGGGCCCTTCCAGCCCCCAGCCACAAACTCCCCCACACCTGCCAGCTTCCATGGGCAGATTTTGGGGAAACTTTGTGGGTTTCAAGGCCAGGAGAACTGAAGTGTGGGGGAAGGTGGCTCTCACAGAAGCATAGTAGATTCTAGAAAACTAACTGCGGGGGACCAGGTCTAGGCCCAACCCTGTGATGTGTAGGGTGGTCATGGCTGCATGTAGTGGTTCTCCTGGTGGCAAAGGTGGCTGAAAGGAGGGATGTGGTGGGGGCAGGATGGGGGTGGGAGGGTGAGTGGGTGGGTGGTCAGTGTCTGGTCATTTCCGACTAAACAGTGAGCCCAGCAGAACCACGCCAGCCACAGTCATGCCCGTCAGGAACCAGCGGTTGAAGCGCTCCTGGCCCTTCCGGCTCTCGGCTGCTGCATTGTTCCCATAGAGTTCCACAAACGTGTCCTGCAGGGAGAGAGAAGAGAAGGAAAGGTGCTGTTTGAGTCTTCAAAAGGTAACGTGGGTGGGTGGGAGAAAGGGGGCCATCTTCACGCTTTGTCATCTGTGCCCACTCTGGGCCTGATAAAGGGTTAAGAGCTGCTCTCCTTTTTGACCTCTAGTTGGGAATGACCAACCCATGTTATTGTTAATAGGTGCAAAGCACGAAAACAGCTCTGTCCAAGGTCAGACAACTAAGAAATGGTACTCTAGAACCTGAGGTGGGAAAGAGATGGGCAGGGCAGGGAGCGACAAGTAGGCCAAACGGCTAGAGCAGAGGAAGAGATAGGGAGAGATGAGGGTGCCGGGGTGAGCGAGAGCTGGACAACGGGAGGCCTGGAAGCCACAAAGGAGCTTGGAACAGAGTCTGAGTGAGGGCAGAGTGGAACCACTAGGCTTTCCACTGTTGTGATAGAGGGACGGAGGAAGGGAGGGAGGGAGAGAAAAGAGATGGTAAATTTCCAGAGTGATTCACAGGGCAGAGTATGTCTGGAAACTCTTTACCAGAGGCTCCTTCTTCCTCTGGAGGGATTCTCTGTCCAGGGCAGGCTGAGTGGGGCAAAGCAGAAATGGTAACAACCATGCAGGACTGGGATGGGTCTATGAGCTCCAAGTCCCTGTGCCCCGCCCCAGGAGGTGTGACTCTGGGCCCAGGAGGAGGTGAGCAACAACCCTAGGCTGTGAAGCTAGTCAGGAGGGAGGCACATGATACTGGGAGGGAGGGGCTTCGGGTTAAATTACCCAGCCCCAGCCCAGGGTGGAGCTAGCCTGTGGGGCAGGGAAAGGGGAGCTTAGAGTACCTTTTAATGAGAAGCTTCCCACCCTATTTGTCCTTTAATCCTCCCAACAATGCTGCAAAGCAGGCTGTTTCTCCCCACTTACAGACCAGGAAATTGGGCCTCTGAGGGTGGAGAGACTCGATTAGGTCACCAAGCTTTGTCAGTGGTGGAACCAAAATCCAAGCTTAGTGTCTGGCACCTAGAAATCAATGTACTGTGTGTGTCCAGGGAGGGAATGACATGAATCACTAGCTGGTTCCAGGGCCAGTGTTTTTGCCTCTCCACCAAGAGCTCATACCTTGGGCCCACATTGCCACCTGGTCCCAATTAGCCGGGTGGTGTCTGCTCCCTCAGACAGGGCCTGCAATCCCCGATTGGCCCCAGGTCCCACCCAGCCAATTTGCTCACTCTGATACCTGCCTGGCCCCACTTCTGGTCTTGATGACCCCTCAGTCCAGGCCCCACAGAGATTTTTAACAGCATGCCAGTGCTTCAAGTCTTCTATAGTTTCCCCCTGCACTCAGAAAGCCACTGTCAGGTCTGTTCATATCCCTGGGACCCGAGCAGAGTGCCATGTGCACTGAGCTGCCAAATGACTCAAAGAATACTCAACATTTATTAAACGATTAGGAAGGTAGCAGGAGCCACAACCCTTATCAGAGAGCTTGCCATCTGCTGGGAGAAGGCATTAGGGAAAACAAGCAGTGGGGAAAGCCCCATTCAGACCACATCACTCCAAGCTGTCAACCTTTCCAAGGTTTTCCATCACACCTGGAATCAAGTCCTTACCACAACCAGCAAGTTTTAGCAGGACCCGGCCCCTCCCCACTGCACACTCCACACGTAGCACCAACCTCCTTGCTGTTCCTCGAATATCTGCTGAGCTCAGGAGCTTGTTGCTCTTGCTGCCTGGAGCACTTGACCCCAGATCATCACCTGCCTCACTCCTTCATTTCACTCCCGACTCTGCTCAAATGTCATCTCCTCAGAGAGACTTCCCTGGCCACTGTGTCTAACATGGTATCCATCCCCATCTCTCTCATCTATCCCCTTACCTTGCCTTATTTTTCTTTTCATAACCAGATTCTATACTTTGTTTTTGTTTGATTTCTCTCCTACACTAGATGTGGCTTGATGAGGCAGAGATTCTGTCTTGTTTCTGTATACCCAGGACAGTGTCTAACAGAGTTGGTGCTCAATAAATACATGAGTAGAACAAAGGTATTGCATGTCTACTAAGTGCCAGGCACTATTATCTCACTTCATCTTCATAATTCCCAGACTAGACACTTGAAACTCACTTCACAGATGAGACAACTGAGGTTTACAATAGGGAAGACCTTGCTGAATGGTGGCAAAGCCAGGATCAGAACCCAGGACTGCCTAGCTCCAAGGCAGTGCTGCTATACAGCAGGACAGTCCCTGTGTGGGGCACTGGAGAGGACCTGTCCTGTCACTAGTGCTGAATGGATTCCGTGAAAAAAAAATGTGGGGGTGGGGTGGAGGTAGAGTCTTGGGTCTAGAGGACAAGGCAGTAGCAGCAGCAGCAACCATCTCCTAACTCTTGGCCTTGTTGCTGCCCAGGCATGGCTGGTGTGGATATGCTCCCCTCTCTCCCCCCTTTCACCCTGGCTACACTCTATGGGTGTTGGTAAAGAAAATTCTTATAGGAGTTTTTATTTTTCTGATCCCAAGCAAAGTAGGTGCAGGTAAAGTCACAAAAAAGATGGACCTGTTATGGGGGGAGTCCTGGGCTGTGGGAAGCATGGGAGAAGTGAACCCATGGCCAGAAGGCCATGGTTATCCCAAGGAGCTAAATGTCCCACAAGAAATCAGAGACATTGGGGTTGTAGCCAAAGTGGGAGAGGTCTGGCTCCCTCAGTGGGAACTTTCCTGAAGTAGAGGGCTGGCAGCCACAGGACATTTTCGGCTCTGGGGCTGGACTGGAGTAAACAGGCTCTGTCCCTGCAAAGGCACAAAGCACTCACTGTCCAGGAACAGTCATTGCAGGGTGGAGGGAACATTCTCATTTCGGTGCCATAGAGAACAAGGCTCTGGCCTGCCCAGCCCCCATGCGTGTACATTCCTGGCCAGAACAACACTTCCCATCTCCACTTCAAGGAGCCCCTTCTTTTGGGGAGGGGGAGTAGGATTTCCAAGGGCTGGGATTCTGAGGATTGCTTTTGTAGAGAGAGCACCAACAAAACGGGGCGTGCTGTTCTAGGGCGGTGCCGGGAGGCAGTGGTGTGGGTATATTTAGCCCACGGTTCACACGACACACTTGGAAACAAACACGGCCATTTTCTCAGCAGGCGGCTGCTCTGGATAAATAAACAGGATTGCAAAGCAGCCCAGTCTGGAAAAGCAGAGATAAGCTCCCACTGCTCCTCAGTGGCTCCCACTGGTTTTAGCCAGAGCTGGCATGGTGGGCAGGGAGGTCTCTGATGTCACAGAGCCTTTCGGAGACCCAGGCCTGAGAGACTGTATCCTCAGCTTGTGTTAGAGCAGCAGTTCTCAACCTGTGGGTCGCGACCCCTTTGGGGGGTCAAATGACCCTTTCACAGGAGTCGCCTAAGACATAACAGTAGCAAAATTACAGTTATGAAGTAGCAACAAAAATAATTTTATGGTCGGGGGTCACACCAACATGAGGAACTGTATTAAAGGGTCACGGCATTAGGAAGGTTGAGAACCACTGTGTTAAAGCGAATGGGGAACTGTCACTCTGCAACTGTGACTGCTACCGTGGGGATCCATGTGGGAGTTTTCAGGGCCAATGGGGAAAGCAGTGGCTAATGACCCCCATGGGAGAATCATGGGCTCCTAGCCAGGCAGACACCACAAATCAGCAAGGCCAACACACCTGCACATTCTAGTGTCACACAGCCAGTTTGTGGTAGAGGGTGGACTAGGAATTGGGGTCTCTCAACTTGGCAATGGGGTCCTTCAGAATGGTGAGACAAGAACCAGGGTTCCCAGGAGAAGTCAAGGCTGGGCCCACTTTCAAGGTCCTGCCTCCCACAGTCCTGGCTACACACAAGGAATGGTTCCTGCCCCTGTGCCTTTGCCAACACCGTGTCCTCTAACTGGTCACTCTTTCTGTATCTCTCTTCCTCAGTTAGCCAACACCTAGTCAGTTTACAAGACTCCACATTGTTGTTGTTTTTTTAATTTTTAAATTTATTTTAGATAAAGAGGAAGAGAGAGTTAGAGAGAGATAGAAACATAGATGCCCTCCTGCATGCCCCCACTGGGGATAGGGCCCACAACCTGGGGATGTGTCCTGACCGGGAATCGAACTGGTGACCTCTTGGTGCCTGGGTCGATGCTCAACCACTGAGCCATACCAGCCGGGCCAGGACTCCACTTTGAAGTCCTGTCTTCCTAGAGGCCTTCCTTACTAGTCCCTCCTCCGATGCTGGGGAAAATGTCTCCTTTGTGCTCTCAGGGTTCATAGACTTTCATACACACCATAAATATTTATGAAGCACCTACATGCTCTAATCCAGCACTGGAGACACAGCAGTGAGCAAGACGAACAAGGCTCCTGCTTTCATGGAGTTTATGTTCTAGTCCACGCGTGCTCAATGCTGGCAATATCAACTCCAATGGGGCAAAGTGAAAAATTCTTGGATATTACAGTGGTTTGTGGCTCTCTGTGGGGCCACAGCACATATAGGACATAGCTGTGGTATTCAAATGTAACGGGAGAGCAATTAGGACAAAAATATCTAAAAAGACTCCTTAGGGGAGGTAGTAATAAAGGAAAAAAAGGTTGAGCAACACTGTCCTAGTGGGAAGCAGAGAAGATAGTAAGAAACAAGAAAATTTCAGAGGTGATGGGGTTTTGAAGATAGTAAGTTGTGGGGAGGTGACAGAATATCTGGGGACTGAGGTAGGTGGGGTGCTCAGGGAAGGCCTCTCTGGGGAAGTGAGGCTTGAGCTGAGATCTGAATGCCAAGGTGGAGGTGGCCAAGGGAGAATCAATATTCTTGAGTAAAACAGAGCACATTCCAACAGAAGCATGTGCAAAGGCCCTGAGGCGGGAAGGAGAGGCATGGCTTCCTTAGGTAAGGCCCTCTATCTGTGTGTCAGTCTTTCCCATCAGTCTGGAGGGTGCTCAGTGTGATCAGGGACCAAGTCTGATCCATGGATGAATATCCAGACAGGCATCTCTAAGTTTGGCTA